TCACACACACACACACACACACACACACACACACACACACACACACACACACACAAACACACACACATACACAAACACGCATACACATTATCTGGTTCACACATACACTCACACACAGACCCACACACCTTCTTCAATCCCGTACACTTGATGGGCTCCGCCCTGCCTGATCTCGGCTCCCACACAGACACCCACACTGACACCCACACAGACATCCACACAGACATCCACACAGTCAACCACACAGAAAACCACACACTATCTCTCCCACACACAGACCCACACACCTTCTGCACGTCCGTACACTTGATGGGATTCCCCTTCCTGTCCGCGGCTCCCTCCGCCACCAGCACAATGTGGGTACGTCGCTTTTCTCCGCTCTCCAGTCTCTGGGGATTACGGACAGACGGGCAGACAGATAGACACACAGATAGATACACAAATAGACACACAGATAGACAGATAGACACGCATATAGATAGACAACATAATCTTGGTGTGACGCTTTTCTCCGCTCTCGAGTCTCTGGAGAATATGGACAGACAGATAGGAACACGGATACACACAAAGAGACACACGGATAGACAGACATTTAAATAGACGGATAGACACACAGATAGACACTCAGATAGACAGATGGACACACAACATAATGTGTCTGAGACACTTTTCTCCTCTCTGTAGTCTCTGGGATTTACAGACAGACAGATAGGCACACGGATTGACAACAAATAGACAGACAGAATGACACACAGCACAATGTGGATAAGGCGCTCTTCTGTCTCCGGGGAATAACGACAGACAGTCAGGCAGTCAGACACACATATAGACACACATATCGACTGATGTGGGTACACCACTTTTCTACACTCGCTGGTCCGTATTTTAGGTCTGAGGGGGGAAAAGCACCAAATGATAACACGTATTATTGCTGGGTTGGAGCTATAGCGAGAAAGAAACCACAGAGGGAAAGGAAAGATATTGAGCCAACCAGTGGCTTCCTTCAACCTAATATAACTAACAAATCACAAAGAACGTCAAATATTATACAACAACACACTAAAAACAGACACATTTACAACTGCCCCGCTGCTGGTTGCCACTGAGCAGAGCCCATAAAAAAAAATAGAGTTATCGTTTTGTCTTGCCCAAGGACATACATCAGTGACCATCCACCTAAAGGTTGTGATATTGAGAAACTTTACTATAGTGCAGTCAAAAATTCGCTGCGCAACGTATTGTGAAATATTTCCCAAACAATCGAACATAGACTCTCCAGTTTTTGCACACTGAATTGTATCAATTTGTCTTAACAGGTCAATATTTTTGTAAACACCTGATAGCTAAATTCTAGACAATTCTTTAATAAATACTAATAAAACATCCAAGTGGGTGGTTTCTACAGATTATACAAGGTTTACAGCTGGGGCAATATCGCTTTTATAAGCATGTCAGTCATTTTTGTCTTATCGTGACACTATTTTTATTGTACGCACGTTCTGAAAATCTTTAGTGCAAAAAAATGTGTTAATTATAAAATCAATTTCTTGTATTAAGTTTTGCCTCTTAAATGTGTCCCTTGTGAGCTGTTACGTAGGCCATATGGGTATGCAAAATGTGTGTGAGAAGCGGGGAAGGCGTGAACAATCCCATTTTCAACGTGAAAGATGTTTATAGTATTTTATATAATTCTATGAAGAAATTAATTTAAAATCTTGCAACAATTGTTGTGGAAAAATATTATTAAATTATGACACATTGACGCAAACTGCTGTACAAGGTATGAATGACATTGATTCACTCGTTAAAAAGATACTAGAGGATAAGTTGCGCCACGAATTCTTGACCGGGCTATAAGTATTTCTTTCTATTAAAAAAAGGTGTTTCCTACATTGCCTGCTTGGGCTTTCACAAGCGGGTTCAAAACAGTACGACCAGTGAACGTCCCAAATTGTGTTATTAAGGGTGTAAAACTCTTTACCAAACAGCAACAACAACAACAAACAAACCTACAGCAATACAAAGACGGTACCTTAGACTGGTTATAGTTTAAAGATGTATTAACCATCTTGTCAAACAACACACTGCCAATCAAACACTTACCTCAGTAAGTAGGTCACCTAATTTTTACAACCACAATCCACACTGACCTCAGATAGTAGGTCCAGATCTACTGACTCAGTAAGTAGGTCACAAATGTATTGATCCTCTTAAATAGTTCAGTGATGTCTGGACCTCAGTAAATAGGTCACAGATGTACTGACATCTGTTGTAAGTAGGTCACATATGTACTGACCTCTATAAGTAGGTCAACGATGTACTGACCTCTGTAAGTAGGTCACAGATATACTGCTTCCAATCTCCCCATGGCGGGTCCTCGGGTATGAAGATGGCACTGGCTTCTGTAGCTATACCCGCCACCAGAGGGAGAAATCTGGGGAGAGTTGGAGGGGATAAGTAGGTATAGAAAACAACAACAACAACAACTACAACAACAGCAATAACAACAACAACAACAACAACAACAACAACAACAACAACACATCCATTTAAAACTGGGGGCAGGAAATGTGATAAGACACAACGCCCCCCCCCCCAACCCCACCCCCTAACTGCCCCCTCCCTGATGCCAAATTTATTGACTGTGGATAGGAAGGGGAAAAGAAGAGTACATGTACACACCCCAATTCGAAGTGCTAAAACCTAATGTGTTACAAATGGAATCAGAGTGAGAGACAAAGTGGGGTGCGGCTGTATCTAACAGGAATAACAACAGGAAACGATGGGCTGTGATCGCCTTGATGCACGAGGATGTGAGGGGGGGGGGGGGTTACTTTAGTTTTACTGTAAACATCTCTCGTCAGGTGAGTTCAAGTAGAAAGGAAACTTGTATAACATGATAAGCCACGTATCTAAAAAATCAAATAGAACAGCCCAGGGGCTTATTTGTCCACAAATTATAATACAAAAGCTGAAAACGATGGTGTCATACTTTCCCAGAAATTTAGTTATGAATGAACAAAATATCATACATGATTAGTATAGTTTAACATAAATTGCAGGTACACAAAGTGATCTTTAATACGGCACTACCTTACCCACACATGCGACCCATGATTTCAAGAACGAAAGCTCTCTTGTGGCTGGGGAAAAGATATATGACGTACCGTTTAATTGTAACGTTTGAAACCTTACTGCTATCAGTGTATGTGTCATTACGATGGCGTAATACGACTGGTCCTGAGATAAAAGGAGAAAACTTTTAGGGAAAAAGGAGGGTGTTGTACTATATTTATAATTATGTACATTAACATATAGTTCTAATGCAGTCATTGGTGGTTGTTATTGGTATACAGAGTGCTATCAAAAAGAGATGGTCAAAATGTTAGAAAAAGGAACGTATCTAGTATTTCGCCAACAACTGGACCTTCTTCCACACAAAAAAGCCAATCAAATGAACCTATTAAACAAAAAAACCAAACACAAACACACACACACACACACACACACACACAAATACATAAACAAACACACATACACACATACCAACACGAACACGCACGCACACACACACACACAC